TGATGTAAAGACATGTTATTTGAATCCTGTATAGAAAGTAGCAGTTCTTCAAGGTCACTTTTCCTCCGGGTCAATTATAGCCCCAAACCGGATTAAACTTTTTTTTTAATTAGGGCTCTTTCTCAGATATCATATTGTGGGGGCAAAGCTCTATGGGGAGGGGAGATGGCATGCAACATTAGGGGTCTTCTAGAGCCTGCTCAATATTCGTGGCAGAATCAAACAATTCATGACCAAACTTCTGGATTAATGGTGGTGGTGTGCAGCACAGGCAGCAGCATCTCTCTCTTCTGCCACCAAGATAGTGGGAGAAGGGGTAGTCAGCTATACCCCACACCTTGTTTGCCCACCATTGTCAAGTGCCCTGAACTGTACAGAAGCATGCTGCGTAACTGCAAAGTTTCACTTTGTCAGACAGAAAAACGGAGATACAGAAAAGCTGATTGGCACTCTGGAATAACGGGTTACATCTTGGCCTGTAAATCAAAGCAACTTGGCTCTTGTCCTGGTTTTTTGTTGTGTGACTTTAAAAATAGGGAAGTAGTTATGTTAAATGGGGCCATTGATTCTTAGCTCTTGGATAAACGATGAGAATTAGAGAAATGCTTGAGGAGTTCTTTGAAGTGAACTCTGTGGCTGGGATTAAATAGATTGAGCTCCTTGAGGCTCTCACTATAAGGCAATGATAGTACCTTTCCCCAGTCCCCTGTAAAGCAATGTCTGAGACAGCACTGGAGCTCAGCTACTAGCTTCCTACATTATTGGGGGTGGTAGTCGGCTTAGACAATAATTTAATAGCAGTACACGTTCAGATGCAAAAAGTTCAAGCTTTCTAACCATGAAAACACAAATGGTCAACATCACATGTCAAAATATACAAAGTAAATATCCTTAAATCAAACTAAGTTTTCAAGCAGCATGTTTCTTTCTTTGCCTATCTGTACATTCTGATTATTATCAATGAAAATATTTTTTGTGTATATGGTGAAATCGATATTTACCAATTAAAAAGCTAATTCTTTCAAGGCTACTTATGTCTGATATAGCCATGCTTGTTTATGTGGGCAAACCATTGTGTAGAAAACAACTTTTTGTATTAGTTGTGTAACATGCAGTTTAGAGGCCAATTTACTTGTGTGGTCCTCTTGGAGCAGAGTTAAGGCTCTTGTGGTCACCTAAGTGAGAATTAATGCCTTGTTAAGTGCAACCTTAACTCTGATTTTCCTGGCTTCTAACTCTGAAACATTTTAATTCAGATATTCTTGAAAGGTAATAAACAGAACTTGGTTCACCTCAGTGGGACTTCTGTGCAGGGGGAAGCACAAGGCCATAAATCGGGATATTTAAAATGTTAACTGGAACTTGATACTCCTGTAGCCTTATATTTTGCATCCCTTTAAAATCTTTTGTTATCTTTTTTGCAGGGATATGGTAAAGCAGATCATGCAGTGACCGTAGAAATACTGAAAAAAGTATACCGAGACTATGAAATCAGTTGGTCAGATGACAAGAAATGAAAAACTACTCTGGAATCTGAAATACAAAGCAATTTGCACTCTAGCTGTTGATACAGAATTGAAGTCTACATTGTGTTTAAATAAATCACTGTTAGCTTTATCTGAATAAAAAGATTTGTGTGTTCTCCATCCTTTAGAAATTGTACTGAGGAAAACAGAAAGCAGCATAAATGCTGACAAGGTTAAAAGTATAATAAGAAAGAATTTGAAGAGCAACTAGCTAAGACAAACAATCAGCAAAATAATGTAAATACATCTGAGGTAGGCAGCCTATCAGTCAATAGGGCTACTGGACAATCCAGGTGCTAAAGGAATACTCAAGCAGGACAAGGCTGTTGCAGAGAAGCTAAATGCATTCTTTGCATCTGTCTTTACGCTAGAGCAGTTTTTCTCAAACTGGGGTCCGTGGACCCCGGGGGTCCCTGAGAGTACACCAGGGGGTCTGTGGGCCATGCTGAGAAACTCCTCCCCATCCCTCTCAGCACACTGGGGAACAGGCTTCCTACCTGCCCGGGCTCCGCACTACTCCCAGAAGCAGCCGGCATGTCCCTGGGGGGGAGGGAGGAGCAGGGGGTCTCAGCGCGCTGCCTCCGCCCTGAGTGCCGACTCTGCAGCTCATATTGGCCAGGAACTGCAGCCAATGGGTGCTGCGGAGGCGGTGCTGTCAGGCAGGGGCAGCATGCAGAGATCTCCTGGCTTCCCCACCCCCGCCCAGGCCCCAGGAGCCGCTGTCAGATGGAGGGGCCGATCGTTTTTGGGAGCTGCCCCAGGTAAGCGCCACACCCCATCCGGCATCCAAATTGCCTCCCAGAACCCACACCCAAACTCCTTCCCAGACTATGCACCCCACACCCCCTCCCTCACCCAAACTGCCTCCCACAGCCCACAGCCCCTCCTGCACCCAAACTCTCCCCCAGAGCCCACACCCTAACCCCCTGCCCCAGCCTAGTGAAAGTGAGTGAGGGTGGGGAAGAGTGAGCAACCCATGGAGTGAACAGGGGGCAGGGCCTCGGAGAAGGGGTGGGACAATGGTGTGCCCTCAGGGAAGACGGGCAGAGCAAGACTGAGCAGGGGGGTTGGGAGTCCCTGAAAAATTTAAATCAAAAGGGGGTTCCTCGGGTTGCTAAAGTTTGAGAACTGCTGCTCTAGAGTATTTGGGGCTCATTGTTACTCATGAGCCACCTTTTTAGGTAACAAATCTCTACTGTCACTTCAATCTGAGGCAATTCCTCAGAAGATTTTGGAACAAATTGATAAACAGTAATAAGTCATCAGGTCCAGATAGTATTTAGCTAAGTTCCCTGTAAGCTGCACGACGATGCAGCAGCCTATTTAGTGCTACGCAGGTGCTCAGGGAACCCGCCCGGGGATCTGCCGCTCCTGAGGGCGGGGCGCCCCTTCCCCAGCCCCCAACCTGCCACAGCTGGGGCGGCCCAGCCCCAACTATGCCGTAGCCCAGACCTGCAACGGCTGGGGTGCCCCTACCCCAGCTGGGGTGGTGTGTTATGGTCCGGCCCCAGCCGTGGCTGGGGCAGCGCAGCGCAAACCTGGGTGGTCTGGCCCCGGCTGCCACTGGGATAGGCCTGGTCCAAACCTGTCACGGGGCACCCCTCCCTGAACCCAGCCCCGGACCTGTCGCAGCCGGCATGCCCCTCCCGGAACCTAATTCTAGCCAGACCTGCAGGGCTGGCGGAGTGGCACCTATCCTGTGGCCCCAGGCCTGGAGCTGCCGCAGCAGAGAGAGCCGCCTCTCCCCCACCAGCCCAGGTGCTGCTGCGGTGAGAGAGGGCTGGGGGGAGTCCTCTCTCCCCGCCGTAGTCCCAGAGCACCCTCCTGTACCCCAAATCCCTCATCCCCGGCCCCACCCCAGAGCCCGCACCTCCAGACGCAGCCCCCACTCCCTGCACCCAACCCTCTGCCCCACCCCAGAGCCTGCACCCCCAGCCGGAGTACTCACACCCCTGCACTCCAACCCCCTGACCCCAGCCCTGGGACCCCTCCCACACTCCGAACCCCTCGGCCCCATCCCCACCACATGAATTTTGTTATGTGTCACACGTCCCCTCCATATTGGTGCACATAACAAAATTCATTCCACACATGGGTAGGAAAAATTAGAGGGAACACTGGCATTCACCCAGGAGTTCTGAAGGAATACAACTATGACATTGCAGAATGATTAACTGTGGTCTGTAACCTATTGCTTAAATCAGCCTCCGTACCACATGATTGAGAGTAGCTAATATAATGCTGGTTTTTGAAAAAGGTTCTAGAGGTGATTCTGGTCATTACAGGCCTGTAAGCTTAAATTTGGTACCAGGTAAACTGGTTGAAAAAAGTAAAGAACAGCATTATTAGACACAAAGCTGAATATGATATGTTGGGGAAGAGTCAACACAGTATTGTAGTGGGAAATTATGTCCCACCCGTCTATTACAATTCTTTGAGCGTGTCAACAAGTATGTGGGCAAAGGTGATCCAGTGGATATGGTGAACTTGAACTTTCAGAAAGCCTTTGACAAGATCCCTCATCAAAGGTTCTTAAACAAAGTAGTTAGTCATGGGATAAGAGGGAAGGTCGTCTCATGGAGCAGGAACTAGTTAAAAGACAGGAGACAAAGAGGTAGGAATAAATGGTTGGTTTTTACAATGGAGAGGTAAATGGTGGAATCCAGCAGTGAGTTGTACTGGAACCTGTGCTGTTCAACATTTCATAGATGAAACGGAAAAGGGAGTAAACAGTGAGATATCAAAATTTACAGACAATACAAAATTACTCAAGATACTTAAGTCCAAAGCTGACCGGTAAGAGTTACAAAGGAATCTCATAAAAATGGGTAACTGGACAACAAACTGACAAATGCAAATTAGAAAAAGTAAGAGTGATCTTGGAGTTTTCAGAGAATTATCCATGGCAACAGCTGCTCAATGTGCAGCAGCCATCAAAAAAGCTAACAATGTTAGGAATCATTAGGAAGGGGATAGATATAATGCCACTCTATGGGTATGTCTTCACTACCCGCCACATCGGCGGGCAGTGATTGATCCAGCAGGGGTCGATTTATCGTGTCTAGTCTAGACACGATAAATCGACTCCTGAGCGCTCTCCCGTCAACTCCTGTACTCCAGCTCGGCGAGAGGCGCAGGCAGAGTTGACGGGGGAGCGGCAGCAGTTGACTCACCATGGTGAAGATACCACGGTAAGTCGATATAAGTATGTCGACTTCAGCTATGTTATTCACGTAGCTGAAGCTGCGTAACTTAGATCGATCCCCCCCATATATATATATAGTCCCTGTTATGCCCTGTAGTGAGGCCGTATTGGTGAACCGGGAAGTGGGCGGGCTCACCCGCCCACTACTAAAGGCCCCTCCCCCAGCCTAGCGGGAGGGACCACTAGACCCAGTACCAAATGATTACTTGGGACAACTAATAAAAAAACAGGGAGCGAGGTGATGGTCAAAGGTTCAAAATCAGGGAACCGGATGGGGACACCGAGCAGAGAACCCCGGACAGCGCCCACTGCTCCTCGAAGGTGGCAAGGGAGCCAGCGGACGCTGCCCAGTGGAACTCCGCCCGGAGACGTGAGACCAAAGAGGTACGGAAGTAGGCC